CTCTCTTTTTCTCTTTATTTTTTTTTATATTTATAGATTTTTATATATATTTATATATTTATTTTTTTTTTTTTTTTTTTTTTTTTTTTTTTTTTTTTTTTTTTTATTTTTTTATATATATTTCTCTAACAAAAAAAAAAAAAAAAATATACATATATATATATATATATATATATATATATATATATATATATATATATATATATATATATATATATATATATATTTTTTTTTTTTTTTTTTTTTTCCTGAGACAGAAAGAAAAATACATATGAAAATGAAATAATTAACACAATAAAATAAGTAAAATAAAAATAAATTAATTAATTAAGCAGCACGTCCAACTCAGGATGTAGACAACAAATGAGAGAAGTTAAAAGCGAATGTGGTTTTATGCTGTCTGCTACAATCAGGCTGTGTGGGAATTACAGTAATTATGAGATGAAAACTCTCCGACTCTGTTCACGTCCTCACACTCAAGAACTGTTCATTTCTATGGCAACTCTTATGATGGCAAAACAGATGCATGTGCAGCTTTGTTCTCATTGACATCAGAAAGCACATTAATTCAAACCAAAAAATACTAAAGAACAAATTCACTGCAGCAGATAATGTTGACAGTGAAGTCGGCAATGTTGAAGTTCAGCAATTTGTTGTGGAACCTCCTAACTGTGAAGTTTCAGTATTATTTGCTAGCAATGGGCTTGTATCGCAATGATCCAGAAGAGCCTATCAGAGAGTATAGACATGCTTTTGCTTTCAAAAGTGTTTTGGTCCACTGCTACGCCATCCTGGAGTTCTCAAACTAAAATGGGCTCTGCAGTATTTTCAAAACTCCTGAGTAGTGTGAATTTCAGGAACATAACAAAATGTGTGTATTTAAAATCAAAGAACACACTAGTGTAAATGTAAGTTCAGTTCTTAAGTGAAGTTTACTTGTAAACTAATTTCGAGAGAATCACGTGCTTATGATTGCTTGCTTCTCGTCCTGCATTATCCAATTTATAATTTACCAATCAGATGATTCCTAAGCAACTATAAATACCCAAAGTTCCATATAACAGCCATCTTCGTTTCAAGAATCCCCCTTCCACCTCTACTCCTCCTCCTTTCCTAGATGGGTGGCACGGTGGCCCAGTGGTTAGCACTGTTGCCTCAGAGCAAGAATTTCACTGGTTTTATTCCATGTTTACACGTTTTTTGGCGGGGGGGAGAAATAAAAATGGGATGGCTGCGGTAGACAGGTCTGAAATACGGGATACTCCCATGAAAAAACGGAGGTGTTGGCAGGTGTGCTAACTAGTTTGATATTGATTTGATCTGCTATAGTTAGAAATCAGACTGTAATATCTTCTAAGCGTAAGGGCTTATTATGCGGTTTTGTCGCCATCTTGTGGATAGAAACTTCAACCGTTGCCAACCAGCTCTCTCAGAAATTGAAAATATTTTAAAATAGGCACTATTCTTACAAATAAAGTGCATGGTTGCAATCTAAACAACTACATTTTCGACTAAAAAGCCTCAAAAGTACATTTTGTTGTCTAACAACAATAATATTTGTCAAACTGTAGCGTCTCTCTGTGACTGGCTGTATGTGGGCGGAGTAATACACAAAGGTGAAGGGTGAAGAGGCCTTTGTGTAACATTACTGGCGAAATATTGCACAGCTATCAGCCAATCATATTCAAGAACCAGACAGAACTGTTGTATAAATGTATATAAAAAAAAAACACTAGTCATCGTCATCAATGACATATACAATAAAAGTCAACAGCTACCAGTTTACAACATTTTTCAAAGTATCTTCTTTTGTGTTCAACAAAAAAAAAAAAAAAAAAGATTTTTTTAACTATCCCTGTAATTAGACTTTTTCTTAATACATCACAGTACATGAGTATATATGTGATTGCGCTGGCCTGCGTGCTGTACTGTATGTGATCCATATCCTGTATGTGTAAGGCGAGCGGCTCAAGCTGGCACACACCAGGCATGCTCTCAAAATAGGCTCTCACCCACCGACTGGAGCATTAGCATTCCATGTGTGCACCAGCAGCACCTTCCGCCAGCACAGCCTGACTCTCCATCTCTCGCTTTCTCCCTCGTTTTCCATTCAAAACTCGCCTCACACACACAGCACTAGGAGTAACGCTTGGATAACTTGACGTCTGTGTGTGTGTGTGTTTAAATACTGTCCATAATCTCTCTTGCGATTGTCTGTCTCAAAGCCACTTTCTCTGGATTCCAAAGCGGACGGTTTTTGTTCATCACTAAAGCCAATGGAGTCTTGAAATGCTGCTGTATTTTAGCAGTTTTACAGTGAGTTTAGTGTCAGTTTGAACTGGTGAATGTGAATTTCTGTCAAGCTGAAGTGGGTCATACTTTACAGTGAGGTTTGATTGGTTAATGTATTTACGAAGATGAACTGAGACTGAATGAGAATGTACGCATCATTTATGAATTATAATTCGATATTTACTACTAGATTATTAAAATGTAAGATTGTGGTTGTTAACATTAACGAGTGCATCGCAACTTTGCATGAATTAATTTTCCTTAATCAACGCTCATCAACAACTATATTTTGTAATAATTATTATGTAATGTGTATTTATGTAGCGCATCTATCATGTATGGCTATACATTCACAAGCGCTTCACACTCATGAAGGTTGAGGTGGGGGGATCTCTCCACACCACCACCAATGTGCAGCATTTACTTGGAGAGACAGTAATAGAGTCAATTCAGTGGATGGGGATGATTTGGAGGCCATGATGAGTGAGGGCCGATGGAGGGAATTTGCCCAGGACAATGGAGTAACACCCCTACTCCCCTACTACAGAGAGTCGGGACCTCGGTTTAACGTCTCATCCAAAAGATGGAGCTCACTGACAGTATAATGTTCCCTTCACTATACTGGGGCATTAGGACTCACACAGACTGCAGGTTGAGCGCCCAATGCTGGCCTTACTAACACCACTTCCAACAGCAACCTAGCTTTCCCCTGTGGTCTCCCATCCAGGTACTGACCAGGCTCAGCCCTTCTTAGCTTCAGTGAATAACCGGTCTTGGCTGCAGGGTGATATGCCTGTGGCGTTCACTATCGCTTGAATTGTTAATTTTAGTAAATATATTAACTAACCGTAATTAACCGTAATACGTGTGAAGTGTGTTAGTGATAAAAAAAAAAAACAAGTCTGTAACATGAAAGTCCAATCGGTGTAGTCTGGTTAAAAAAAAAAAAAAAAAAATCATTGATCTGGTTTCTTGGAAAAGTTGCTGTAGAGTAAGTGTACTGTTCTCAACAAGCTTTATATTTTGCCCGTCGTAGTGTTACTGTCAATAGTTAAAATCTTTTTCAGTTATAATAAAATGCTAGATAAGACAAATTACTGCAGTATTAATTTGTTTAAAAATAAGGATAAAAGAAGGATAA